AAAAAAAATCATTTTTGATCAAGACAATGCACCTGCTCACAACGGTGTTTTAACAATGACAAAAATCACCAAATTAAAGTACGAATTGTTTTCATAAGCAATACTAAACAATGTGCGAGGTGATATAGTACACAATTCTACATACTCATCGGTATAAGTATATATACCCCGTTTGTAGATTCATCTAAATTCATATACATATATGTAAATGAGAATATACATATGAGTATTATATGTACTCTATCATTCTAAGTGAAGACAGCAAAGGTTAGCTGGGTATGTACCAAATGTGTGTACATACATATTTATACTTGTATTACTTTGCTTTCGAACATTCATGTGTGTAATTTGCAGGTTTTGGGTCACTAAGTCCTTTGGAACTTGAGTAAAAGATTAGCTATATGAAATGTACATAATTATAATTCATAAACCGTTTCAAATCATTGCTTTTGACATTGACATTTTCATTGTTAGTACAATATGAAATCTAAACGTCATTATAGCACCATATACGAAAAATATGTACTATAAAACTTAAATTTTAAATAGATAACTTGTTTTCAAGTAAAAAGTATAAATACTTTTACTCAAATTGTTAATGCCGAAAAATTGAACATCCATTTCAAATGTGATGGATACAACCACAAATCTGCTGAATGTGAAAACGAAGACACCTGTTTGAAATGCCACAATAAACACTCTATAAAACCATGTAAATTTGATATAATGAAAGCATGTGACAGGAATATACACGAATATATGGAATATCTTTACATAACTTCAAATACTTCTACTTTGTCCTGCCATAAGTTGTTACGAATTCAGGCCGTTATAAAAATGAAACTACATAAAATACATTTTTTACTATAGTTAATTTTATTTAATAATGCTTATATTACATGATCGATGTACAAAATTTTATTGAAAATGGTGACCTTTTGCTTTCACAAAAGTTCTCAATGACAGCACTTACAGTTTCTAATGGTATTGACGACGTTGCTCGAACCAAAGAATTTTTGAGACTCCAAAAAGTGTACTCCAATGGATTCAAATTTGGACTTCCAGTTGGCCAATCAATTGCAGCAATGAAAATGGGAATATCGCTTTTAAGCCATTGCATTGGGTGCTGGATCAGAATCTTGCTGAAAGATCCAATGCTCTCCATCGAAAAGAGTATTACTTAATTTTTTCAGCACGCATCCTGCTGGTCCACTTTTATCCCATTAACGCCATTTTCATAGAAGTGATGAATTGTATCGCCTTTACAGGAGACTCTCCACCAAGTCATTACAGCAGCGGGATAGGGACTACCTTGAACCTTTGCATCTGTTGAGCCTAATTCACTTTGTGCTTTGTCTGAAGATGACTAGTTGACCGACGGTAAGCTTTCATATGATGATCATCTCGAATAAGTCTTGATATCGATCTTGGCGCTATGTCCATTTCCCTTGACATAATTTTCTGTTTTTAAGGAGCTTTCTGCGAATGCGTTATCGAAATTTTTATGGCTGAATTATCGAAATATTAACTTTTTATAATTCAAATAGTCACCGACGCAAAACCGTGGACCGAATCAGTTGAAACGATCTATCTTATGAGAGCTCAATGTAAATGAACCTCTACCGTCGCTTCTACAGACCGTACGGTAGGATATCCGTGAAAATTAGATTTTTCTTTTGGAAACGAGTGAAAGAGCAATGTCTTGCAACGCAGGGTTGATAATCTCCACATTTTGTGATAATTAAAAAATAAACTTAAATATATTTGAAATATTCTTTTACATTTATTTATAAATAGGTAAACTATTTTTAATAGTTAGAAAAATCGTGTACACAAATAGAACAATGGCAACATTGGTGAAATGAAAACGAAAGAGAACTGACTTCTGCGTTGCAACTACGGGCATAACTTTGGACAAATTTGGTTTGATGCGGGCGGTAAGAGCGGAAGGGAGGAATGTCGGTGACCGTTTGAGCTATTAGAGAAGCTCACAAATTTCATTTGCGCTTTTACTACACTTATGTATGTTGTAAAGCAATCACTGCAATGCGATCTTCTTTAGTTTCCCACTCCATTCTTAATTAGCGAAAGCAAACACTGAGTTGATTATGATATACAAGTATGACTAATTTCATTAAGAAATAAAGACACTTTTTTTTTTTAATTTTTTCTCGCTGTATCCCTGAACCCATGAACCAATGTAGACTGCAAAGGTAATCTTCATGCCTAAGTAGGGAGGAAGGACTATTCCTGGCAAAATACTTAAGGCCAATTTGTCTCACTTCCTGCCTACTAAAAAGCATGAAAAAGATTATCGATTATGAAATAAGGTCGAAGGCGCTGTACCCTCGAAGATCGAAGACGGTCGTACCCTTCATGCGAATCAGCATGTTTACAGAGTAGGTAGGGCAACTAACACTGCTCGATTCCATTGTCCGACGTCAGAGGATAGAAATTCCCTTTGATGGTTTGAGGAGTTTTAAAATATAGTGAATGTCGATAGTAGCAAGGCCTCAAGTGTCTTCACTACTGGGAAAAGGAAAGTTGTCCTACGAGAGACATGAAAACTTTTATACTAAGTAGTTGAAGTAATTTCCATCTCTAGGAAGTGACTTTACAAATTAGTTGATCAATTCCAGTTTTATGTGAAACGGGAAGAATAGCTGATAGACTGCTTTTGAATTATACTTTTTCACATTACACGAACAAAAGCAACAATAATCACTTATGTGATTACAACAACAACTTATGTTCTTTTATTCGCGCCATACTATAGAAATTACATATCAGAAATATTTTTTCTTGTCCTTAAACCAATTTCGAGGGAACAGATCGTTTGCGGAATTTAAAGGGGCCCAAACTTTACCCTGCTCTCCAAGTTTTAAGAAAAAATAAGCAAAGTATAATTTTTTTTACAAAATCCGTAATATTAAGTTTTTGCTTCAATATTATATATTTGCCACAAATATAACAGAAACTGTCAGACGAATTCACACACTTCTGCACAGACGACATTGTACTATATTGAACCAAGGTCTACAAAAGTGACGATTTTATAGGTAATTGTAGCGCGCCACTTTCAACACTATCGGAGCGCGCACGTTCAGGTTACAACAATTTAATATTTGTTAATTAAGCTCACACAGGACGTTTTTTATTTAGAAAGTATTGAATGTTATGCCCTGTATATGTACGTACATTTGAAGAAAATAGTAATCAAAATAGAATTGTACCTATTTATTTATGACTACATTTAGCCCAAAAACCTATGCTTTTAATAAAATTTTGTGTTTAAACTGACGTTCTGGAATTTTATTAGTATTATATAATATAATGTTATTATTAAACCTCAAGTTAAATATTGTTCCAACATTATATGTGCATGCTGCAATTAAACTCAGATGGAACGGATTTACAAATTGCAAAATAAATGAATGAGATTTATGTATACATACCTATTGCCCTGTAGTTAATGAGCAATTAAATACTCTTATCACAGACCACAAAGCTAAAAATCAAAATGCCCCAAAATATTTACAATAACTCATTAAATTATTTACTCAAAATCAAAAAAATATGAATTGAGAAACAACTGTTAAAAAGTATTTAAAAAAATTGATTAAAACGAGTTTAGGTGTCTTAATCATAGTAAAGAATATTATGATAATAAATGAACCAATGCTCATTTACAATTACAATAAATGTTTTCTTATATTCTCTTAACTAAGGAGGCCTCAAAATTTAAATTTTTTTTTTAATATTCTTATTTTTACGCGTAGATTACAAATCCGTGAGCGGAAAGTGAATTTTTTCAATATTTTTATTTTTTTTCAATCGCGTCAAACTCATTTCTGCACTGGCGGCCTTCGGCCGCGCTTCAAAAAAATAACCCTGGTCGGTTCAAAACCGGGGTGTTCATAATTCAATCGCGTCAAACTCCTTTCTGCACTGGCGGCCTTCGGCCGCGCTTCAAAAAAATAACCCTGGTCGGTCCAAAATCGGGATGTTCATAATTCAATCGCGTCAAAATCCTTTCGCTGCTGTTTGTGTAGAAAGGAGTTTGACGCGATTGAATTATGAACACCCCGATTTTGGACCGACCGGGGTTATTTTTTTGAAGCGCGGCCGAAGGCCGCCAGTGCAGAAAGGAGTTTGACGCGATTGAATTATGAACACCCCGGTTTTTGACTGACCAGGGTTATTTTTTTGAAGCGCGGCCGAAGGCCGCCAGGGCGGAAAGAAGTTCGACGATCTCTGATATTCGTTCATACCATCAAATCGCGGCACAAAAGAAATTTTGACTGTTACATTTCTTCAGTATATTTTTTTCATAAGAAAATGTTTAACACACTGAACTGGTAATTACGGCTAAGTGCTCTGAATTCTACAGAATTTTGCCGCTACAACAACAACAACTAAGTGACTTCAATATGTGCTATGTGCAGTGTAAATAAATATTGAAAAATATACATAAATTATTGAAAAAATTCACTTTCCGCTCACGGATTTGTAATCTACGCATAAAAATAAGACGATTAAAAAAAAATTTCACTTTTAAGGCCTCCTTATGTGGGGGACCTAAACTATACATTTACCAAAATATTTGACACAAAAGTATTCACATAACTCAAAAGTTTACCCACCTGAATTATAATAATCGTCGTATTCACAATCATTGTCAGAGTATTCCATGTCAGAATCGGCTGACATTGTGGTTTACAGGATTCACGGGATTTGTCAGGAGAATTTCGCAGAAATTTTATTGCAAAATCAAAGTGATAATTTAGTTAACAGAGACCATTACTTTTGTATTGACATTACGGGCTATATATTGTAGCAGCTGACTGTGACCGTTGTTGAACGGTGGTGGTGGTGCACAATTCTTCAACGATTTGTATTGGATGTATAAATTGTAGTATATGGAATACTTTGTCAAAGCGATGGGCTAAAGGATAAAATGTATTCCTTGCGGGATAGTATTCAATGTGAGAGACTTTTTAAAGCTCCTGCTAAATTACATATTTTGCTCATTGCTAATATACGTCGGACAATTCCGTAATATTTATTTTAACATTGCTTTAATTTTTGTATGTATGTGAGTATATGTGTAATTATTTTCGCGATAATATAAAATATATTTCCATGTTGTTTTTTTTGTGTGTAAAACTTGCTTTGTTGTTGTTGAAGGTATCTACGGTTCATGTAGTAAATTTCCCAAATATGCCTCAAAATTAGGCACCCACTCTTCTTATGTTTTTACTGTTAATATTCATTTTTGCACTTTTTCACAATCATATAAGCCCTTCCTTGAATACTTTTAAAAAAATTAAAACTTTTCAATTCAAGGAGACAACCGAACCTGCACATAGTAATATTACTTTCTCATGAAACTGTAATGGGTCGTTGACAAGTGGCATAATCGTAACACAGAAGGATCCGAAAATATTCAACTTTACCTTAGTAAACTAATATATAATTTCAAATATTTAGAAGAAAACAACTAGTAAATCCTTTTTCTCAAGTGCATAATAATTGGATTTATTCAATACTAGAATTGAAATTAAAGTTTCGCCATTAATTTATTGCACCTCTTGGCACCCTGTGTGGGTTTTTTTTTAATTTTAATTTGTGGCATTTATGCAACGTTGCTACAATAATTTGAGATTTTTGTCAATAGATATACATCTTCTATTAATACACAAAATGTTTGAAGTCGATCCCATATCTGCTGATCACAAAGACGTAATCCATGATGTCGCATTTGATTACTATGGTCGACGAATGGGGACTTGTTCAAGTGATCAAACAGTAAAGGTAAGATATTGCAACATCAATTTATATCTGAGTAATAAAACAAATTAGATATGGGATGAGGATGAATCCGGAAAGTTAACAGTTTCTAGTAGTTGGAAGGCGCATTCCGGTTCTATTTGGCGTATATCATGGGCACATCCCGAATTTGGACAAGTTTTAGCTACATGCTCATTTGACCGCACAGCTTCTGTATGGGAAGAAGTTGCTGGTGAAAAAGTAGCGGCCACCATGACACCAGCACGTCGTTGGGTGCGGCGAACAACTCTTGTAGACTCACGAACAAGTGTAACCGATGTAGAGTTTGCTCCCAAGTACTTGGGACTTTTGTTAGCTACAGTATCAGCTGATGGCATTATTCGAATATACGAAGCTCCGGATATAATGAACCTGTCACAGTGGCCTGTTCAGCATGAAATAACATGTAAATTGCCTTTAAGCTGTATATCCTGGAATACTTCTACATATAAACTTTCATCACATCTTCTAGCTGTAAGTTATGGGTAAAGAGTAAAATTCTTTATATTAAATAAATTTTTGCAGGCTGGTAGTGACGATACAGCAATGAATACAGGTAGAGTATTTATATTTGCTTACAATGAAAGCGCAAGAAAGTGTGCTGAAGTAGAAACAATAAGTGAAATAAATCAACCAGTAACTGATTTGGCGTTTGCTCCTGCTGCCGGTCGGAGATTTCATATTTTGGCTGTTGCTAGTAAGGATTTATACATTGTAAACATTCGTGGACAAAAGTATATAATGATATTATGGAATGAAATAATTTATATATAAGAGTTTTATTGATTTAGTGATTCTACTTCGAATATGAAACTTGAAATCCAAACTACAAGGTTTAGTGATCACAATTGTCCCGTTTGGAGAGTGTGTTGGAACATGCTGGGAACGATGTTGATTTCCACTGGTGATGATGGTTGCGTTCGTATTTGGCGATGTAAGTTTACTGCTATAAATATTAATAAATGTATTCGTATATTCGTTGTTTTTGTAGTGAATTACATAAGGAACTGGAAATGCGCTGTTGTATTAAAAGCGGAAGGAAGTTTATCGTCATACGAACCAAATCTTAATTCCCCGACTTTTACAACTGCTTCAGCTGCAACTGCGAAATACTATAAAAAAGGAACAATTAGCAATCCTAGCCAAGTTCCTTGGCATTAACTTAAATATATAAACAATATCTTTGTATGTATGCCTGACAACACTGAAAATGTATTCTAAATATTTTATAGTGGTTTTTTTTATCGAGTAGTTTAAAGTTAGTATGTAGTAGTTTTAATAAGGAAAAAATGAAATTATTTGATCAAAATGGAAAAACTAATGTTAAAAATCCGTCTTCGTTAGTGGAATGGTTGATTTAAAGTTGTTAAAATTCGGATTGAATTGTATCTATTATGATGCTTATAAATACTTATATATATGTACAATATATGTATATTCGAAATTTATTGTTTAAATTTGTATATACGTATGTATTTTCAGCAAGCGATAACTTCTATATAAAATTTGTATGAGTAGAGAATAATGTAGTCGAATATATAGAGAATTCAGTGTGACGAGCATATCCCTGCGGACCACGTCGAAACAAGAAGTTTACAGTACTTTCCGCTTTATTAACAGTACAGCAACTCGGTAAATAGAGTTTATTATAAATCTAACACAAATAAACTTATTGGTGTTTTTTCCGTTACTAGAATAATATTTTTATATATATTTAACTTTTGCTGAGCCAGGATCTAGATCGTTAGTATAATGTTCCAGATATTAAACACGTTTGTCGTGTGCCCTATATCGTTTAACCTTTTAATGTCATAATTAAAATGGGCGTGGCTAAAAATATTTTGAATACATGAGTTGATTTGTTGAGCCTTATATACGAACTGATATCAATTTCAAGTTTTTATCTCACCTGATTTAGCAGATATAAAATGTTGCTTATAAGTGGTAATACTTAATAAATATCAAAACAGTAGAGTATTGATATTTTATGTAACTTTTATTATTTTTGAAAACATTTCATGTATGATAGGATACAAAGCAATTTTCTTTTGGGTTGCAACATAAGTGTACCTTACATTTATAACATTTTGATGAGGGAATACCTGTTTGGCATAACCTACACCTTCCTTTAGCACCCTATTGCGTTTTCTATCATCAATTGAAAATTTAGCAAAGACATATGTTTTGTCCTTCCGACTTCGTTGTTGAGGTCTCTTCTGTATAACAACCAGCTATTGACTACTGCTTTCTGACGCACCAATATACATGTATATATTATATCATATATACCTAAATTTTAATCGAAGAACTTTTTTCACCTTTTTTGCACATGTCAGATCACAACTTCAACTGGCTGTCAAATAAAGAGTTGTAAATATTTTGCTCTGATTCTTTGTAAACGAATACTTGAACACGTGCACTTCAGTCGAAAAAAGCAAAAACTGTAGAAGCAGTGATCGAAAATATACAATGGTGCTTATAAGCAACAAATGGCATGAAAGGGTTAATATAATGGGTTAAATAAGTTTTTTGGTTATGGCTTACATTATTTTTATCACCCTGTGTTTTCTGCATGCCGTGACATTTGAAATCATTTTTTACACCTATTATTTTACATCTTAATCATTGAACATCGCGCGCTAAGTAGTACATTTTAACTTTGTTTGTATTGTGGAAATGTTTGAAGTCGAACTGATATCAGCAGATCACAAAGATGTTATCCACGATGTTGCATTTGATTATTATGGCCGACGGATGGCAACTTGCTCTAGCGACCAAACAGTGAAGGTTTGAAGTCCAATAGTTTTACATACGCCGCCCATTCTTTTAAACCTTTTTTTGTTTACCAAAGGTTTGGGATGAAGACGAAAAGGGCAATTGGATTGAGTCGAGTAATTGGAAAGCACATTCCGGATCTATCTGGCGAATCTCCTGGGCTCATCCAGAGTTTGGGCAAGTTCTAGTTACGTGCTCTTTCGATCGAACGCCATCTGTATGGGAAGAAGTTGTTGGAGAAAAAGTACCAGCCCTATCGACTCCGTCACGCCGTTGGGTACGGCGAATGACACTTGCCGATTCTCGTACAAGCGTTTCTGATGTTAAATTTGCTCCTAAATACTTGGGACTTATGTTGGCCACCGCATCGGCTGATGGTATAATTAGAATTTATGAAGCACCAGACATAATGAACCTCACCCAATGGCCTGTTTTGCATGAAATTGCTAATAAATTACCATTGAGTTGTATATCATGGAATACTTCAACATACATGTTATCTTCACAACTTTTAGCGGTAGGTTATATATTTTTCAGTATAATTAATCTAGTAAAAATATGACATACATACCTTTATGTGTATAAGAATACTTAAAATATGTAAAGTCAAATCATTTATAGGCTGGAAGTGACGAAACAGCTACACATACTGGAAAAGTTTTTATATTTGCATATAGTGAAACTAGAAAATGGGTTAAAATAGAAGCAATTAATGAAATCACACAACCAGTTACTGATTTAGCGTTTGCACCTAATCCTGGCAGGACATTTCATATGCTCGCCGTTGCAAGTAAAGACTTATATATTGTCAACATCCGGGGAGTAACGTAATTATTTAGATCATTATCGAAAATTATAATCTTAATTGAAACTTTTTAAGTAGTGATGCATCTGCAAACACTAAACTTGATATACAAGCAACCAAATTTAGTGATCATAACTGTCCTGTTTGGAGAGTTTGTTGGAATATGTTAGCAACAATGTTAATTTCAACTGGTGATGATGGATGTGTGCGAATTTGGAGAAGTATGTCTATATAGATACCAAAAACATAAATAATTTCTTTTTATTATTATGTAGAAAATTATACCAAAGATTGGAAATGTGCCGCCGTAATAAAAGCAGAAGGTAGTTATCCGTCCTACGAACCAAGTCTTAATTCCCCGGTAATGACTGTTTCTGCTGCTGCAACTGCCAAATACTATAAAAAAGGTTCAATTAGTAACCCAAATCAAGTGCCATGGCATTAGTTTGAATGAAATTGCAAAGAGCCAGATTAAAGAGCCTACAAAAGAGCGATACGAGTGCCAGAAATATAAATTTTTAGATTTGCAATATATTGCTCTAGAGAGTATATCCAAACAATTATTTAAACTTAAGATATTGATATGTAAATTTAGATAAAATGAAATTGATTTATATCTAACTTTGTTCGTATTGTTTTTAAATATTTACATTTCAGTGTAACATTTGAAGGATGTTTCATACTTCAAGAAACACAAGGAAGAGAGACAGAGTGCAGTGAATACATCATTTAATCGGCAGTCTTTTTTCATCTCAGATACGCACGACCGCCATTCACAATGGAGTCATTAACACCTTCACCGGCCCCCTTCCCGTGAATGGCGTACTTGGAGTTAATGCACCACCCATAGCAGGCGAAAAGCTCGAGTTGCCCGAGAATCTAGGCTGACTCTTACGCAACAGCTTCACAGAATATACCAAGAGCACCTGTACCAATTCGTATGGGCGTAATCATTGGCGAATGTCAATTCCGCAAGGTGATCGAAGCTGCTACCGCTCGCTTCATACCGGCTGGAAGAATCGCGGAATTCCGCCCCAATTTCTCAAGAGAAGCAACTGTTTTATCTAACGAATGCGATACTTTACACTGATCCCTGCGATCTCCGAACAAGTCTTGTAACCTCTCCCGGTGTGTAACCGGTGTGAGTAAGCTTTGGAGTACTGTCAACGCCTTGTCAAATCCGAAGAGACATGACGACCGGGTTAAAATAATCAAGGTCCTCAATCTGTCGCTGACCACTTCAAATATCCGATGGAGTCGGAAGATTGGTCCCACTACAGAAACCTGGGAGATCCCCCAACAAAAGGGAGTCTAATCATCCGATAACTCTCCACTCCCCAGTAGTGAAGACGTTTGAGGCCTTGCTAGTCCCGACGGTCAATCACCACCTGAGCCTAGCAGACCGCTAGCCGTTCCCACGACACTCGGGTCTACGTAACCGAATAGACCCGGATTTTTATCCGGCTTATGACCACCAGCATGGCTTCCGCTAAGTGCACAGTACCATCACAGCACTTAGCGTTATAAACGCCCAGATAGTTCATGGCCTAAACCAAAAGCCACTTTGTGAGATTCTCGTAGCGTTGGTCTTGTCAAAAGCTTTTTACACAGTCAACCACACAACGCTACTTGGGGACATCGAACAATCCACGCTCTCTTCAAGGTTGAAGAGGTGGTCTATGAACTACCTGCGGGGTTGGAGTTTCGAAACAGTTAAACAGTAAAAGGGACACTGGGTACTGTATTAGATTACACTCCTAATTATCCAGATGTCCAGCATGCAAGCAATCCCCGCATGACACTAACCACCTCTTTGCATGTTCAACAAATCCAACTCATCTAACTCCTTTCTCCCTATGGTCCGACCCTGTCGAAACAACGTTTCCTGGGCCTACCGTTAGGTGACAATCAACCTGAACCTTATCACCCAAGCGAGGATAAGATAACCGCTACAACAACAGCCAAGCCTTCTCCCATAACGCAGGGTTATTGGCAATTTAATATCGGTGTTGTTGTTGCTGAAGTGGAAAGCCACAAATAATGCCTGAATTGCAGCTCGACTATCACGAAAGATGCCAATGTGTAATATTCCTGCGCCCTTAGAGCGAAACTTAAAAGATAGTTGAATAGCTACCTATAGGCACTGAGAGTTTGGTTCTGCATCCCTGTAATTTGGGACGATATCCATCTGATTATAGAGATTTATAAAATTGTCGGCTGATCCTTTTTCCATTTTTATGATAGTCTTTGAACCACACCGTGCACATGATATAAACTCATAACTTCGCCAGCAACCATATCTTTCTCTCCACGGTTTGGATTTAGTAAGCGTTTACGAGATGTTCATCGTCAAACATCAAAGTATCTCTCTATTATATATAAAAGTTTTCTGCTGCTGTCGAGAATCAACTAACATAAGAGCGAGCTAGCTCGCGCTCTGCGGGGGGCGGAGTATCATATATAATATATATCAGAATCACAGAATATTCAAGCATCCTGTTGTTTTCATTTTTCACATCAACTTATTGTATTAAATTTAGCTTCTTTATTTGAGTTTATATCACATACATACATAACATTTGAAGAGGATTTTAATACAATTTTAGCTGACGCGAAGTAAAATATAGTATTAAAACTAAGTGAGTGTTTAACGTATAATATAACTTAATACAATACCAAGTTTGATTGTAATCCATTTACAATTTAATTGAATAATAAATGTTGAATTGTTTCGCAAAATTTTTGAATTAAAAGTTTTGCCAACACCTGAGGATATTTTTCCTGCTTTGATCCTTGCAAGTTGCAAGATTATAAAATGTTAGCCCTCTGTGTTTAAAATGTGGATTTTAACTTATCTTAAGTTTAAAGGCACAAACAGTCACCGACGCAAAACCGTGTCCCGAATCAGCTGATACGACCTATGTTATGAGCGCAATGTAAATGATCAGTCACCACAGCTTCTACCAGGGATAATGGGATGCCCAACTCTTTCCAGTGTGAGAGCGCCTCAAAATTAGCGTTTTTTATAACATTTTCCATTGTAGCCAGATCAGCCAAAATAATAATTTTTGTTCATTTAAATTAAAATACCCAACATTTATTAAAATTAAATATTA